AAAGAGATCACTTTAATGCTTGAAACATTCTTCCTCAATCTCATTAAAAAACCGATGTACGAGAGAGAGCTCCGTAGAATAATAGATCTCAATCGTGATAGACAAGCATTAGCATAGGGGAATTCGATCTGACGGAGCACTCACTATTTATCCACAGAAATCGATAATCTGAGCCACAAACTCGACATGACAAACGCACACGAGAAGGCCGTCTACCACCAAAGTGAAATGGTACAAATCGAAAAAGAATTAGACCACTTTGCATGGTGATCATCTAAGTTGCTCAAAATTCGCGTCGGGAGGTGGACAAGTTTTATGAACTTGTGTACAAAAATTTAGCACAACCTACAGATGAATGTATTCAACATAGATTGATTACACTGTTGTTGGTTTTCAAACGCTGGTTTGTAATTTTAGGGCGTGAGGAAATTATGCAATTAACCAATGTTGAATACTTTGATTATCTTCTTGAGGTTTGCTCAAGCCTACAAAACTTGTCCGCTTTTATGCCGAGGTAAATTTAGAGTAACTTTGTACTTACCAGTGAGTGTCATCGTGGTCGACTTCGGGGTTGTGCCTACAATTGGATCTGCTTTGAGCTTCGTACAAGGGTGAGCGGTTTGGGATCAGTTTTATGGTCAAGTCCCATAGACTGACTACCGTCAATCAGTCACCCTCGTGGACAGCACCAAACATGCGAATTTGTTTCCCCACTTTAGGTGTGCTGTCCAAAATCCTCTTCTAAATGCATGGCTACGGTCATATGTGATTAATGATACCCGACACGAATTATCACTACATAATAAAATCCCCAAGTTCTATCATCCCCGCTCCGGAAATTACTGTTTCTATGACATCTGTAAATATGAAATTCAAACAGATTTGAAAAATCTCACAGGGACGTCACAGAACGCATGACAACCGTTGGAAAAGTGGCTTTAGAGAAGAAACATGTCATCCAGATATTTTCACCATTATCAACTGCAATACCTATCCGTTGCTTAAAAATCTTATAAAGATCAGTGACCTCATTCGGCGTCGAGTATAGTCCCAACTTAGGGCCGTATTATCCCGTTCTTAACCAATGTCTGTTTCTATGCGGATCACATACGCTAATGACGCTACCTTCGATTTGCCCTATCCCAACAATTCTGTTCTCTCCGTTATCCAGCTCGGTATCTCATTACTAAACGAGTGAGCCTTTGCACCCAACCTTTCTATGAACCTATCTAAATATGTTGAAGTTTCACTTTCTCTTCTTGAGATTAAATTACACTCTGAGTGTCGTTGGAGTATCACTCGCTATTCATTATGGATACACCGCACTCCTCAGTGTGGAAACATCAGTCAAACATGTGGGTACTATTTCTAACCTAGCATATCACGAATTGTTTTGAAATAGTCGGAAGGATTTCGCTTGTGCTCTACGCCCAACTGTGCACCACCCTCAACCATCTGATAAGATAGCAGGCACATTCCTGCATTTTACTTCACAGATTCTACGTGTCTCCCCAGTGATTTTTCCTGGGTTCATTACACAAGGATACGTGTGATATCTAGACCAATCTCTGTGTTCTAGTTTATTCAGAACTCAGGCAATCGATCACATTGTTTCGGAAACATTCCAGAAATTGTGAGAAACTAGGTCATAAAGTACTGCCCGATTTCTATCGTTAGCTCCGCCCCGCATCACCCAAATGTATTTCAATCTCATCTAAAGGCTATAAGTACAAACAGGTTCGAGCAAGCAGAAAGGTATGCAACTTCTCCGTAGGTCCTTATCTCACTCGGAAAGTATTTCTCATGATTTGTCCACAGCTTTGAGTAAAATCCGCAAACTGAAGGTATTTTACTCGTTTGTTCATTTTTATGGGACAGTTGGCTGCATGATGGTGTGGTAAAGGAATTTCTTTTTGAGTGAAGTAGTCAAGGTGTCCTCAGCAGAACCTACATCAGACGCCTGATCATTCAAAACTGAATATATTTCTGTCAAAGTACCGCTTCCGCGGCGCGTTCACAACACATCAATAATTCTACTTCATAAATCCTTAATCCGATTCACTACCACTCAGAGGCAAGAGTTCCGTTTTGAAACCTGATTATCCTAAACAGCTCGCTAGGTCAGGATGAAAACGACACGCGAATATCTATGCGTACAATTATTTACTGAATTCACAAAATTGTGTTAGGGTCAGTATAAATACTGTTCAGCACATACTGGGAGTCGATGCGACCAATTCAATGGTTGCCAGTTGATTCGAACCGGTGTGATGAGGCTCCAGTGATTGATTGAACGCAGCAAGCGGTGTCCTGGTACGTCTCGCCAAGGGTACAGGTCGAGCAGATGTGCGTCTCATCGTGTTATTAGTCGTGGTCGAAGCCACGGTGCTGGTCGCAAAAGTGGTTCGGGTACTGGGACAATCTACACTCGATGATCGGTCTGAAATGGATATCTGACACACAACAGATGGGTGGGTGGGGGGTGGAGGTGAAGGTGAAGGTGAGCGTCGAACCAAATGCGTGAGTACATATTCAAACTGTATCCCACGAATGCAACGACGAGCAGGAGAAAATTACGAGTATCGATGCATTTGCAAAGTCATTCAATGCGGGGAACATATGTCACCAAAGAGCATGAAAAATAAACCAACAGCCTGGATGAATGACAAGCATAAAATCAAGGGATGAATGGCGAGATCACAGCCATCGAAAAAGGGAAAACAAACGAATGACATGAACAAAGTTATTCCCATGCCCGTACGACAACAACCACAACAAGAACGACCAATCTAAGAGACACGATGAGCTAGCTATAACTCACCAGTCAATTGTGAGTACTGCGAAAAAAGTGACCGTATGAGACACAACATTGTGCATGCAAAGCCTGCTTGGGGGAATACACCACTGCAAAATTGACTGCGCTTCCGGGGAAATCGATCCAAGGGAGCGTATGCTTTTTGAAAATAATCTCGTTTATTTGTCTTACAAATTGACTGTACTTGTTCAGACATCCGAATTTGAGCCTGGATCTAAAAATGCTCTAAAAGTGCAATTGATTTGCATAGAAACTCACTTGCCCTAGGAATCTTGTCGTGTACGCTCGTATGCGACGTCAAAGTCAAGTTAAGGTATATCATACAAAATTATGGTGCAATTTCCCAACTATATCTACAACTGATTCCAACCTGATATTTGAAGTAGAATTCGTCTAACTCGGCAAGTACATGCTACACCCTCTAGCTGTTAAACGCTTAGCAAGCGGAAATGTCACCAACTGAATCTCCCCGCGGCAGAGTCAAGCCAGTCGCGTACCTGGGATGGGCAGTTTCCGATGCGGAAGGACTTCAGTGTCACGACTCTCGTAAGGTCATCAAAATCATAATGAAAATAAAACAATAAACTTTCAGTTTCAGTTTTTACAACAACCTTCGTGTGCCGATTTTGGTTTCTGTCTTATGATAGCCTAATTGGATGAAGCAGTAAAGGAAAGGTTGGAATGTTCAAATTAGTGTCTGAGTGACAATACAGGAGGCATAGAGACTAAAGGTGTTTAAAAAAATTGAGGGAGGATACAGAAGCGCCACTGTTTACGACACTCAACCGTATCACTCAATGTATCTTTAACCAGCAGTCACGAGGTCCCGTTCAGGGAGCCTAACGCGACCTATATGACCGAGTCTCCTAGTCAGGGTTTTCATACTCTCATGCCAGGTCTTATTTTGACCAATTTTGGCTTTTTTCACCTACTCCCCAAGAGGATAAAAACAATCTTTGAACGTTCCATTGGACCTAATAAAGCGAGTACATGACTTGGCATGACATGAAATTCGATAGAGTGTAGCAACATTAGAAGATCCATGGATCGGAAATCGACTGACTGTGGATACAGCGAGATGAGTGACGGACAACCAGCCCATTAAGCAGCTTCCGTGATATACTGACTAAAAATGTATCTTGTTACATGTCGACCACCCACCGACTCCCCCTTAACACTCTCTCCTTTTCTCTGATTTTTACTCTGAATTCCTCTATCTCAGTACATTGCTTATTATTCATACTCGTATCCTGCTGCATGTATGCGACAACGACAGAAGGTAAGCACTGTGGAATGTACCTCTAAACACAATGCACGTTAAATCGCTTCGGAAGTAATTTCAAACCGATGTGACTTATACTTCAAACCAGCAGCCTCCCGTGATCCAAAGGGCGATCAGATTGTGATCTGTTCGTCTTGTTACTGTTTGTATTATTTCCCGATTGTGTTTGATGACATTCAAACAAGGGTAAACACGTCAAAACAAGTGTTTTGGAAAATTTCGCTATGATGGACAACACGAATTGCACAATACTTACCGAAAGACGTGTTGGATTCATTTTTGTACATGGAAGGGATGAGATCAGATCAGTCGATGTTGGTGATAGCCGTGAGATACTGATGGGACCATCAGTGACGGCATTACTAGTAGTTGCATCACCGACGTTGAAATTCGTCGCTTCGGCCACAATGATTCGAGGGACAGACGTATTTACATCATGGTCTGACAAAGAAGTTGTGGGTATCCCCTCATAACCTGCTCGGTGGGGCCGAGGATCGGAATGGTCAGCCGAAGAAGAAGGTGGCTTGTGGTAGGACAAACCAGCAGGCAAGCTGTCTTCTGGATTGGTGAGGGGGGTTGTTTGATCGTCCAACTCCAACTCGACGAATTGGCTGAATATAAACATTTTCAAACAAACATTGGTATGCGAATCCCAGAAATATTATTGTGCCGTGATTTGTTTGACATAGTCTGGACTCAGACGCGTGTAAAAAACAATAATAACACATCTGTACCAAAAAGGTATTTACGTCAAATTTGAAAACCGGAAGCCTCCAAACCAGAATTTGGAAGGTGATTTTTAATTAGTAGTGAAAACGAACGCCAATGAAATCACACATTATAGCTTGGTGCGTAACAGTGGATAGAGACACGCGATCCAATGAATATAAGACCATCCAAGTTACAAGTACTCAGCAGCACCCAATCTCCTGGGTGAATTGGAAAACGAATTTGTTGGCAATGAGCCATTTCATTCTGTTAGTTGCTGTTTCCGTGCATTTTATTCAATCTAACAGCCATAACCATAAGACATTAAGTTTCTTCCGACTGTCAGACGCTTTGGGGCTCATCGTGCGATCTCTGCGAACAGCGAGTACGATGAACGGCACTTCTCTTTGAAGCGCGAAATCACAAAGAGGTAACGAGATGATTGAGAACCTTGATTGGCGTTATGCTCAAAGGAGATGGAATGAGCTATAACGTCTGGGAACACCCCGTGGTAGCCGTTTCACTCATCTGTACTACTGGGTCCAAAATAGTGCATTGATGAAACAATTTAGAGTGGATAGCGCACCAACACCCAATGTTCACTGACGACTAGAACACTGAACAGAGTATTTTGAAATGGCAATTTGAGCATTCTCCCGTGCGTTGGGGTTCGAGAGTGGCTCCAAGGCATCTGGGTCACGCAAATTAGCACCGGCTCTTTTTGAGGATAGTGGATAAGTTAGTGAGAGTGCCAAACAGACTGCCTTTGAGGTATGAGATGAAAACCTTTAGTTCTATATGGAAAAATCGATCACCGTATTTATTTTCAAGAAGGACTATCGCAAAGTTTATTCCAACCAGTTCGATTCTAATAAAGTTTTATTACGTAGAATGATTCGAATTGCTGAAGGGCGAATGCGTGAAGAGCAAGCCGGGGTTGCACGGATCAAATTCTCACCCTGTCAGGTGTTGCAACACTGCCGCATTATAGAAGGCACTTCACTGTGGTGCTTCGGGATATTAGATCGGTCTCTGAATCCGAGCTGTTTTCGGCAACCGATGCCTAGCGCAGCACCATCCGCGTTTGGTGGGAGTAACAGGTGAATAACCAGACGTGTGCTGAGAGAAGATGATAGGCTCCATAAGCAAGACTATTTCATTGCACCGTCTAAGGTGGCTGCGATAAGCCTTGGGAATACCTGGATAAAGTCTACCAAGCGGTGACTANGTGACTAATCGGTGGACAGTGAACCAGACTGGAGGAAACAGGAGTGGGAAGACTATGACGTAGCTCAGAGGGTTGAAGAAACTGTTCGTATCTGGTCTTCGTCGGGGTAAAGAACAAAACAGAATAAAAAGCAATTAGTTCCAGGTATGTGCGAGGGTAATAAACTGATGTTTATTTTCCGCGGTAATGTTGGTTAGATCACGTCATTACGCTCAGTAATGCTTCTATTTTATTACATACCATAGTGTGATGAACAGCAGACGGGGTAAACCCCCATGATTACGAGGAGCTGCCGTTCAGTTATGGAAACAGTTAACCTAAGCTCAGGGACTTGGAGTGGCGAACCATATAAGGCTGGGCGTAGTATTGAACCGGACGACAACAAAGCTGCATAAGAATAAACTCGGATGGCGGTGGCGGGGTTTCGAACGAATAACCGAAATTGGAACTGATTCAGCACCAGTAGAAGGCAATGATAAGGGTACGAGAAGTGACACCTCAAAGCCCGATAGAATGTTATGTTCTTTGGACAAATTACACGGTTTTGGTCGCATGGTTTACCCAGCCATAGCCGGCGGCTCCGAGAAGCTGAAACGTTTTTTACACAGGTGTGATAAACAGCAGACGGGGTAAACCCCATAGTCACGAGGACCTGCTGTTCAGTGGTTGAAATCGGCAACCTAAGCCCCGGAACTTGGAGTGGCGAACCACGTAAGGTCCCGATAGGTTACGCGTGGTATTGAACCGAACGACAGCAGAGCTGCCTACCACCAAAGTCGGGTGGCGGTGGCGGGGCTCGAACCTCGGACCATAGGGTCCAAAGCACGCCGGTGACAGCGACTAAACCACTGCGCCACCACCATCATATGGAATCCCATAAGCCTCGTGAAACCAGCTTCCTCACCTCCAAGGAGCCAGTCGAAATCAGTATACAACTCCCATTGACAATGATTAAACAGTTCCAGCTGCAGGTGCCTGGGTCAGTTCAGTTTTTACAACTATTTGCCATGCACCTTTGTGCAGCGGTTTAAGTTGCCACTTTTAGACTGCCTAAGTCACATTCTGGTTCTCTTGTTTATGCACCCTTTTTATTGCATGTCCTCTTTTTTTCTATTACAGCTCATGATTTATCAGTCGAGTAAAGCGTACAGTTCTGACTCCGAATCTTCTCTGTTCCGCACGGGTTTGTTCGATTCGTGAAACATTACAGCCCATTTGCACAAACGAACAGTATGAATATGGGAATGTTGAGAGGAGGGTCAAAAAGATAATCGGTTCTCACAGACTAGGGTCGCAATCAGCTTGACAGCGATCAGTGAAGTTCGCGTGATTCACTGTATTTCCCGGTACGATAATGTGGAATGTCTGGATGAAAATTCAAATGCAAAACAGTCGCATGACATCAAAAACAATTAGCGATAATACGGTTGCACTGGTAACGGCACTGAAAATCGCTGGATAAACACATGATTATTCCTGAACTGATAGCGACGAAGCGAACGCGTTCGTCAAATGAGATGACGTTGAACCGTTACAAACAGCTTACCTGGATACGCGGACTGCGTTGGACGCCTCGAGAAATGACATTGACTGTACAGGACGGCCATTTATAGCACGAACACGATCACCTACTCGAATGCCACTTAAGTCGGCGGCACCACCAGGTTCGACTCTGACAATGGTGGCCGTTGATGGAAAGCGTTCTCCTAGTGGGGAAAAGCGATAAACCAAGATAAAACAGGAACTGATGGAAACACCAAAATGAACATGATCGTACAACAACAAAAAACCTATTGTGGAGCTTTTGATTAAACTTCCGCATACAAATAGGTCCATGCAATTATTGACAGTTGCACGAGCACCAGCTATATTGGGAACCCAAAACAGTAAGAGCACACAGTTAGTTATCAGCTCCGGATTTTGCCCTTTGGCTTTGCAGACTAATTGTTCGAAGTGACAGGAAGTGGCAGTACCTCTGACTTGGAAACACATCATGCCCATGAGCAATAAGTCTAGAACGAACTCTCCGTCGCTGTTCATCGTTGCACACATAAGTTAGCTTCATGCAACAACATCCACACTTGAATATTTGATTATCAGACTCAAATTAGCTAGTCTTTTTTACCTTGGCTTAGAGAAGCTAGTTTTCATATTTTACCAGCATCGATGGAAGCTCTGGTTTTAACCGCATACGAGATGCCTCGTAAAGAGATAAATGAACCAACCGAACGACCGACCACCGGCGCATCTGTAACGCTGCTACCTTGCTTTTTTCAACTGATTGCGTTAAGGCTAGAATGAACCCTCGAATAAGGCCTACTATGGGCTGGCAGACTAAGTATTTCAATTGACCAAGACGCATGTAAACAATGAACTATGAACTTTCAATTAACCACAAAATTACACTCAGCTTTCTTTAATCGGAAAATACCATTCTTCGGCGCACTTCCTCGATTCTCCGATCTTTCCTCCATCCTAAATTCATTTCCGGCTCTGCAGAAAACCATAGTAACAGCTGGGCTACAGATGGAAATCGGTGAACTCGGGCTAAAAGGTGCCGTAAGCCCGGACTCGACTTCGGCGATTTGTATCAAAGGATTGAAATATTGAAATTAGCTACTCGGGCACATCATTCAGAGAAAGGC